GCAAGTTCGCGTGGTCTTTGTTTCAAGGCTCTAGGGATGTTCGACACTTTGGTGCTGAGTTAGACCTAATCTCAACATCCACAGTCCGATTACTTACGGAGGCAAAAGACGCCAAAACAAGTCTGTGCCCGGGCTCCGGCCCAAAACCCGAAACTCAAACCCGAAAAGCTCCAAAATCTCTGAATCTCTTGACCCCTGAACCCCTAAGCCCTACCTGTAACCGCAAGGACCTCGCGTTTCTGGGTTCCTTACTATGGTTTCTATATATGTATATAGTTCCGAAAAAATTAGGGCTTTTGAAATTTTGGGCCACAGGTAAGCCCTACATAAACCCCGCAAGGCCCCGAAGCCCCGTGGATCCCAAAGGCCGCGGCACGTTGGCACTTCGGACCACCAGAACCCGAATGTCATCATCACGGGCAACGCGCTTGACCATGTCGCCAAACTCCTGGTTCAGGGTTCAGGGTTTAGGGTTTAGGGTTTAGGGTTTTGGGTCTAGGGTTTAGGGGTTTAGGGTTTAGGGTTTAGGGTTCAGGGTTCAGAGTTGTATGGCTTAGGGTCTGCCCTAAACTACCACAACCTCCCTAAACCCTAAACCCTAACCCTAAATCCCAAACCATCACTCCTACTTTTTGCAGCTCCTTATCATAAACCCGAAGATGGGATTCACAGGGACGCGACCAAGTAGGTTCAGTTAGGGAGTCCTAGTTGATCCCTTAGGGTTCCCTGAACCCTAAACCCTAGACCCTAAACCCCTCAACCAATAAACCCTGAAACCCCCCCCCCAAAAAAAAAGCAAGATAGAGAGACGGGGGTTTCCGAGAATAGGGACCCTAATATAGTACCCTAAATAGTAGGATCCTTATTATAAGGACCCCAAAATACCCTAAACCCTGAACCCTTATTATAAGGACCCCTAAGGTACCCCGTATTTTCTGAAACTCCCAGATCTTGGGAGGCCCGGCCCCTCGAAGCGAAGCCACGAGCTCGGCCGATGCTGCCGCTTGCGCCGGGGTCTGCGGGGCTCTGGGCGGTTCGGGGGGTTTAGGGTTTAGGGTTTTTTTTTGAATGCCTTTGAGAAGGGTTTGGGGTTTAGGGTTTAGGGTTTAGGGTTTAGGGTCGGTTCGGGGGGGCCCAGGGAATTTAGAAGTTGGGGCTAAGGAGCTATAGGGTCAAAAGGGGTTTAGGAGGTATAGGGTTATGGGGGTTGCAGGACTTCGGGTTTGAGGTTTTTTTAAGTATTATAGGAGTTTAGAGTTATGGAGTTCTGGTTATAGGGTTTAGGGTGGTAGGGTGTTCGGGTTATAGGGTCATAGTGTTAAAATGGAGGTTCAAGGGTCTAGGATGTTCACGAGTATTTTTCCTGGGTTTTCGGGCTTTGGTGTTTAAGGCTTCAGGATTCTGCGGATTGAAATCTATGCTACAATGCCGAGATGGCAGCGGCTGAGATGCGGCATCGGTTTGCGATTGCGCGGGCAGGAGTGAAAGCGTCTGTGGTTTCAAAAGGGTCTTCAGACACAATGCTGAGATCGGCGGAGCAGCTCGTACGTTCTCATGAAGAACACATCATGAACCTTCTGTCCGAAAAGAATGCAGTTGAGAATGCTCCCGTTGTATCTAAATATATCTAAACATAGACAGTTGAAGGCAATATGTCCCTGCAAGGGGCTGGAGTTCAACGGTGTGTGTGCGTGCTTTTGGCCCGTGAGATGCCGCCAAACGCCCAAATCGGAAGCAGAAAGCGCAATTGTGCTTGGTCCAGGTGCAGAACAATCCGGGTCGTGGATCCATGCTTCGCTTGGTTGAGCAATTTCCTAACAGCCCGTAGTTCACGTCGAAAAACGAGGCTCCTACTGTTGAGTGGAGAGCGCAAGGTAGTCGAGTTGCCAGATGCTCTCGTCAAAATCATGCGTATTATCATAGTCAGACTAATAATAATCACAGGAACAATCACATTAATAGCAATAGCAAAAACATCAGAATAATCAGACTCATAACAATAGGCGTTCATCCTCCACTTGTAACATATAACATGTGATATGTAATATACAACATATACCAACACAATATGACAAATGGTGTACAAGATTCAAACCATCTAAACTAGACTATCCCGTTTTGATATATACAACCAATGCTATGAAACCTAAACTAGACTATCCCGTTTTGATATATACAACCAATGCTATGAAACCCTAATACCTAATATCTAACGTATCATCTACTGTCCACTTCGGATATCAGGGTCATTCTCCTAACTCTCTTCCGGTGACTTCTGCCATACGCGTTGCCAGTTGCACCCTTAGCCTTAGATCCAAGCCCGCTGAGCTACTTAAATGATCAGGGGACCTGGCAAGGTAGGAATATAGAGTTACAGGGTTCTAGCACCTTAGGTACGGATAGTTACCTTGCAGGTACCTTAGTGAGGGGTTTTTAGCAAACGAAAGGCTAGAGGTACCTTACCTAAAGCCCTACTTACTGAGTCCCCTGAGGATCTAAGTGGGTGGTTGTCAAAATTAGGGTCCCTTTGGGGTACCCAAAATAGTACGTGCCGTATTATAATAAGGACCCAGAAAGGGACCCTAATTTTGACAACCACCAATATAACTAGGCTTCAAAAGGCTGCCTGCGAAGTCGTAGCCTTCGGCGTCATCCCACCCGCGGGGAAAAAGCTGGCCGGAGACGCCGCCCGCCCTGGGGTCCTTCATGTGGTGTCTATAATATAATATGATATAATATAATATCATATAATACAATATAATATAATAGAATAGAATACAATAAAACATAATAGTCTAGGGTTACAGAGTATAAAGCAGACCTTAGACGGAGTCTGAGCCCTTGCTTGCAGGTCCAGCCGTAAGGGCTGCTAGCTTTGCGTAGAGGGCTGCAGCTTTTCAGTTCCAGATCTTGGCGTCGAATGTCTGGAACTTCTGGCGCAGTGCTCAGAGTCTCATGAGTTTTGGAATCCCGGCTACTACTGAGGGCTTGGGTGTTTGGGCTTGATTAGGCACACCGCGCAGAAGAAGTCAGCCAGTCGAAAAAGGCACCACATGCGCAGGGCAGCATAACTCCTCTCATTGCTTATTGTCAGAACTTTCTTCCATAGTCCCGTCTTAGCCTTGTGTGTGCGCGCGGTTTGTCTTGTTGGTTGTTGTTGTTCTGATTTTCCCTCACCTTATCATTGCTGCCCCTGTGATCATGACACAATGCTTGCCACTGCCATCATCTCTATCATCACTTTAATTACTAGCTTATCCTTATTGTCATCGCTGCGCTTCCTCCGCAACCGCAAATCCACCGTGCACCTGACCCCAGAGCCTAAACCTTAAAAACCTGAAGAGCCCCACCGAACAGCCGCCAGATGGCCCCTGGGCACCCGGCCTACTGCTGTCAGGCGTTGGAGGGCGCGGCCCCAGCGGCACCGCGGCCGAGACCTTGCAACTGACGACCTGGCCCTGCGGCGATTTGTGGCTTCGAGGTTTTGGGGTTGGAGGGTTTAGGGTTTAGGGTTTAGAGTCTTACAAGCATGCGTCTGTGCAAGGGTATAGGCAGCAGTAGATATACACAGGCACACATGCATGCACATGCACCGACACAAATACGAGTGCATAAAAAACACACACAAAAATACTACATACAGACATACATGTGTATGTTTATGTTTACGTACACACATCCGGGTACACGTGTCTCTGTATGCTGGTGTGTTTTTGTATGTACGTAGACTGCAAGTCTGACTGACAGACACACAGACTGATGCTTTTCCAGAGCGATCTGTGTGCTTAGCACTCCACGCTGAGTTTTCGAGTAATCGAGCATCTAACTGCAGTGGCTTGACATGGCATTTATTCCTGTCTTCATCTGCACATAGAGAGGCTCTATAGGGTCCTGTTGGGGACCTCTAAACAATCAAGCGGTTAGAAGCATTGGGGTGACCTGATAGAACTGAACCTCGTGTGCAGAAAGAGTGGATATCTTCAGTCTGCAGAGCTTGTCCAGGGTCTAGGGAGTCTAGGGTGCAGGGTTGTGTCACCAGTCTCTTCATCGCCCTAACAAAAACTCGGAAAGTGCTTCTATTATTAGGTACGAAGAACACTTATAACAATAATAATAGGAATGGGGGGACGGAGAGCCTACCTCGTCAGACAGCGAGGAAGGCCCGGAGTGCGCTCACAGAATCACAAGACAGACAGCACTGCAGCTGGGAAACAGCTGGGAGCGAGGGAGGGAACCCCTGAACTCGAAACCGCGACCTTGAAAGCCTCCCCCCCTAAGTCAGAACAGGCAGTTAAAGGGCGGGGATGATGTCGGGAGGTTGGGTCCAAAACGCGTTCATTTTTATTGGGGGTGTTTAATGACGGGGGAAGCGATTAGTTGACATGAAGGCATTGCCAACAGCTCGGAGTCTGCAGTCCCCAGCAGAACTTGTCTGAGAACCTTTGAAACTCATCGCACGCCAGGCGCACCTCGCCATACCTTCCCGACGGCGTGGAAAATGCCGTCGGGGGCATCTGGAAGCCCAGGGGCGTGGCTCCACTGCAGTCCGTGGCAGCACAGCCTCGCCACTCAGAGATCCCAACATCCCTTCATTGGGAAATATACCTTAAGTTAGAGGGCCTGATACTAGGGTTTAAGGTTTCCTCCTTAATTCAGGGGTGTTGGTTCATCTCTGGGCAGGGACATGGTCTTATTGCGGAGAGGCCTTGTTGCTTTTGCCTCTGCCACTACAAAGCTGCTCTTCGGGGCGTGGCAGGAAAACCCGCCCCGGAATGAGATTTGGTTGAAAACTACATTGCAATTGGATCGAGCATGGATGCACAATCACACGTGCAGCTCTTGCTCCAATTGCTGGTAAGTTGCCATCGTTGGCCATGTAAACTTTCTGAAGAGGCAGCACCACACGGGTAGCTGGACGAGGCGCGTCCTCAGAAGCGGAGCTCGCATCGCAGCCGAAAACAAAGAGGCCCAAGAGTCGAACTCTGTTGTGGCCAAGCCTCTCGACCATCGACTGGTGGCAGGCCGTGTGATGCTTGGTGGTCACCAGGTAATGTTGGATATGTTGGTGGCTGGTACGGAGGAGCAACACAACCGGAAGTCGACGGAGGAGCCGGAAGAGCCGGTGGAGCTGGAATCGCTTCCTCTACCTCGATTGCACCATGGGCCACGACTACTTGATTGTGAACAAGACATCCAACATGAGCATGCGCAAGATACCTGCCCCGACCAACCCATGCTTGCTAGATCACCTTTGCTGGGGGACTGTTGCAGCTTTCGCCAAGTGCGGCAGAGGCACCTATGTCTTAACGCAATAAGTCAACCGGTCAAAGTTGCTGGAGAAGCATCGGCTAGTATCCACACACCTCTTGCTACCATCAAAAATCCAAACCTTCATCTGATCAACTGCGACTAAGATGCATAACGTGAGATATTTTCCGGAAGCGCCCTGTTCTTCACGTCCAGGTCGTACAGACCGTCGGCAGTGATTCCCTTCACTATGGCAACGACCCGCTGGCGGAGTGTCTTGCTGTTGTAGAACCTCGAAACCAGGAGGACCAGACAGGAAAGGCAAGCTGTTAAAGCTAAGCAAGGCCAGGTGGCACTTTCTCGCCTATCTGGAACCTCTCGGAACCTGCAGGAGCACCACCCAGGAAAAAAAAAGCATACTGGAGCGACTCTACGATCCCGTGATCGCCTGGGAAGGCAACCTCGTTGTTTTCTCTTCTGATCTCGGTGGCCGTGGCCAGCTTCTGCGGCTTTCCTGCCTGGGAGTCCTGACTCGCAAGCCATCTCATTAGGGGACTGCACAGCCTGTAGTTGAAACTAAATTCGCAAGCAAAACAAGGTACAGGCTGGAAGAAGAGCACGACTGTGATTGGAGATCATTTTCACAAACGAGGCTGGGCGGCGTAACAGAGGATTCCATCACCGCCACGGGTTTCGGTGGGCCACCTCTCTGCATTCTCCACGTGCAAGGGCGAAGGAAGCTCGGTCAGAACCTTGGTGCAGGAAGCAATCTAAATTCAAAAGGTTGTACATACATACATACATACATACATACATACATACATACATACATACATACATACATACATCTTCTTTCGGACGCTGCAAAGAGGTTCTTCGCTTGGCGTGGCTATTATGACGGGTGGCCACCCCGGCTCTTGTGAGCACCGTGCATTGCACGGCTCCGGAAAACGCGCTTAGCGCATGTCTCAAAAGTCGCCAATGTCGAGCATGACGAAGTAGAGTGACGGCCTGGCACGGATGCCCCACTTGCCGTCTATGCGCGTGAGTCACTGGAGCTGATAGAGGTACGCATAGCCATTCGTGAAAGCTAGAGCAGGCAACTCTTGCAAAAGTTGCGGACTTTTGCCATCATCACAGAAAGAGTGCCGAGTATTCGCACTTTGGGAGTAGAGCAGTGCTCTGTAGTGTCCGGATGCAGGACTCGCACCTTCATGAATGATTATGGCTCGAAGGCAGTAAAGTTTGAGCTGCGTTGCAACACTAGCAGGAAGAAGATCAGCGTCAGAGGAGAAGCACTGGATTGTCAAGCACGGGTCAGGGTGTATGGGGGTCAAATCCCGCAGTGGGCGAGTCCCGTCATATCCAAATCGGTTAACTTGGACAGCTAAGAGAGGCGGAGCCGAGTCAAGCGCCGTGATGCCATCCGCTGCCTGAGTGTACCAATGATGAAGGATGGTCTGCAGAAATAGGGGTTGGTCAGGGGAGGTGAGAAGCTGGGCGGGTGACACGGCAAGGAGCAGAGGCCATGTCTCCCCACGATCACGCACCTCACAGATGGGCGTGCCGGAGCTGGCGTCATGATCTAGGAGTCGTCGCTGCCAGCCTCCTTGGACGAGGTTTGGAATGATATACCTGCGGGCAAAGAGCAAGTACTCTGCAGCATCATGTTGCACATGAGGTCTGTTCCAACGAGAATGCAACATTGACCAAGGTAGGAATGACCAGAGATCAGGCAGGCG